AAAGAGGCACAAAGTCCCGAGAAAGTCCTCTTCTAAAGAGGCACAAAGTCCTGAGAAAGTCCTCTTCTAAAGAGGCACAAAGTCCCGAGAAAGTCGTCTTCCAAAGAGGCACAAAGTCCCGAGAAGGTCCTCTTCTAAAGAGACACAGTCCCGAGAAAGTCCTCTTCCAAAGAGGCACAAAGTCCCGAGAAGGTCCTCTTCTAAAGAGGCACAAATCCCTGAGAAAAGTCCTCTTCCAAGAGGCACCAAATCCCCGAGAAAAGTCCTCTTTCGAGAGACACTAAGTTAAATCCTTACCCACGAGGTGACGAGACCCTCCAAAAAAAGAGGTCCTCTTGTCGAGGTTCCAAGAAAAGTTTTATCCCATGAGGCAACCCACTGAGTCATATAGTTTCGAATCTGTCTCGTTCCCCGAGACAGACTCAAAACTAGGGGGCATGTGATGGATTAGGGATTTTTCCTAATCCAATATTATTTGAACAGTACAAGAAAGCCCAATTTTATCTGGCCCAAGATATAAATCAGATAAATTATTCAAGACAGAACCAGAGATATATGGACAGAAAAATATATTTGAAGTGATGTGGAGACATTTGGCGGGACCCGTGGAACACTATCACATGGAAACCACATGCCGCACATGGGATTCACATGGACAATGTCCCCTCTTGTCTCCATCAATTATTTCCTTCTCCCCTTTAAATGCAGGCTACGAAGGAGGGAGGAGGGAGGCCAACTTCTTACAAGTTTCAATACTATTCTTCATTCTTCTTCTTCTTTTAGCTTGGAGCTCCATTAATGGCTCCAAGCTCCTACAGTGATGTATATGTAAATTCCCCCAAGATTAATAAAAGTTCCTCCCGTTTGGCATGGCACCGCCTAAAAAAGCCCGTGGTTTTCTCCCGATTTGGGTTTCCACGTATAAATACTTTCTTTCCACTTTATTTATATATTTAATTTCCGGATTTCGCTATTCGGTGCGGTGCCGACCCGGTACCGATTTCATCGGGTCGACGCCCCGAAAAAGCGGTTTCCATCACTACGTTTAAAAAAGATTGTCACAGGCTTGACCTTTTAGTCAAAATATGATACCTTTTAATTACAAATTAAATATAATTTTGAATATTCAAATGGTTTAAAATTTAGTATATCAAATAATCAAAACTACGGAGCATATTTTAAAATGAAGTCAATTTTACTAAATTTATATTCTACTTCATCCGTCCTAAAATAATATTCCCAGTTCAATTTACAAAGTTTGACTGAAATTATTTTTAATCCAATTTATTTGATTATAGGTGTAAAATAAAATTTTATATTTTAAAAGTTCTACAAAACAAGATGTGACATGACTACTTATTTTATCAAATAACTAACGAAAATATGTAAAGAAAGTGATTAATGTTTGACGATGTGAATAATGACTGAGAAAATCATTTTAGAACGGATAGAGTAATGAAATACATTTTTTACATAATTTGTGATTAAAGTATTACACAATTTGATAAAATAAAAAAGACACGATTTTTTTGAGAGAGAGTAAAAGACAATGACACCTATATCTATTTACCTTTTACCTAAAGGAATTTTTTTGGAACCAGTAAAATTCTTTGACTCCCCCTTTTCACGGGTAATCTCCATTTTCACGGGTAATCTCCCATTTTTTACGGGTAATCTCCATTTTAATATCTTGACTCGTAACTTTTTACGGGTAATTTTCATTATAAAGGAATTTATACTCTTTTTCCTATTATTTTTTTTGAAAGTGAAATGATATTTGCAATCTAAATTTCAATTTTTATATCATCACTCAAATAAAATTACATTTTCATCAGTGTCTAATAAGAATGAATAGTATATTTTGGAATCTCATTATCAAAAAATGGAGTGTAAATATCATTTTCTTTTTATTTTGAGAAGAAAAAAAGCAATTTATGCATAAACAAAACAAAAAAAAAGAGGAATTTATTCGTGATTATTCAGATTAATGCGGTGTAGAAAAGTCGTTCAACTTTTAAAACTTTTTTGAAACTTCTGCATTTAGGCATGAATGTCAATATCATTTTTATCATAAGGGGCTACTCTGTTTACTTTTCACTTCCACTTTTTGATTTTTTGTAATTAAAATTCTAGAAGTTTGACTATAATGACTAATAAATACATAAAATTTTATATTTGATATTGGTGTAAGAGTAATTTTATTAAATTTATCTTGTAAAATATTACTTATTTAAATAATATACAAGGTAAATTTTTTAAATTATATGACAAAACCAGTAATTCACCCGTCCATTGCACGAAGAAATTTAAAGTATTTTTTTAAGATTATTTTTTGTTTGAATTTTAGTTTAAGATTACCTGAAAAAATGTTTTATAATTAAGCGATAATTAGTTTTTTTTATTGGTAACGTAGTTTACGTGTTAAGTATATTAGTTTTTTAAGATTTAAATTAAAGAAGTAATATGCACAATTTGTAAACATAGTGATTATTTTTTAAAAGCTGTTACGAGTAATAATTTGGTTTTAAAAGAATAAGTCTCGAATTATCTATTAATCCTATTATGATTATTATTTATGAAAAAAAATAGGGACTCACGGAGTAAAGTTTTAAAATGGTTTCAACGCATCACCATGCGTCATTGCAACTGCAGGGACACTAGTTGCCAATTTACTACGGAGTAAATTTTTAATCACGAACAAATAGGTTATGGTGTGCTCCGTTTAACTTATTTTTTCTTGTTACGGAGTATTATTTATTTTGTTAAAATTAGATTAGATCATAGCATAACAGAATAGAAAGAATTAGTAATAATTTTAAATACTACGTATAACCACAATCAGATAAGATGTAATTCGATCAGTTCGGATCCAGTCAGATCATATCAAACCAAATCTTTAACAAACCTCAGGCGAACGGTACGCAATCTAAATATAGAGGCTGAAGTTTTAAATTCAGAGACTAAAACTTCAAATCTAAAATATGTAGAATTTATTAATGGTATACCCACCCTTATGGACTCTACCCACCCCTACCAGTATATCTAAATACTAGAACTCATATCCTATTACACACACCCTTAAGGGCTTATTTTTTTTGTCTGGTTTGATCAGATTTGACATGATTTTATAAAGATATAATTTAATTGTAGTTATATTTAAAAATTAGTAAATCTAAAGTGATATCAGTGCTACCAACGTCATTTGCTTACACCAATTAGTTTGAAATAGCTATGGTGTTCCGTTTGTAAACATCTCAGTTCCTACCTCTATCCATCCCCTAAGGCATAAACCCCCACACCCCACTCCCTCCTCCCTACCCTGTTAGTATACTCATGCTATGAAAATAGCTAATATGTGCTCCCTCCGTCCCACAAAATATTACCCATTTTGAATAGTATTTGGTTAAATAGCTACACTTTTTGATTACAAATTGTGAGAAAAGTATATTGAATTATAATATAAATTTAATATAATTGAATTCATCGTAGGATCTAGTTTTGATATATCAAATTTTTATAATATTTCTTTGGTTAGATTACATTTAATTTATGATCAAAACATATAACTATTTGACCAAAAATACATCAAAATAGGTAATATTTTGTGAGACAGAGAGAGTAATAAACGGAAATTGAAACAACAGCATCTAAAGAGGCCGAAACTAAAAAGGTAGACCCAAATGAACAAATTCCTCAGCGCCAAAGAGAAAGGCCCAATGGGTTCCGCCGCATCATCATCTTCATCATCGTAACCCTAATAAAACCCTTGCGATGGCGTGTGAGCCTTTTATATATTGAACCTTCTGCAGTTACGAAATTCTTCATCTTCTCCATTTACTGTTTTTCTTCATCTTCTTCGTTGTGCTATAATTTCAGAATAATACTTTTCTTTTTTAATTTTTAAGTTTATAATTGTTTTGGCTGTGATGATCGAAACTACCTATTTAATGAGAGAGCATTTCTCCGGTGAATAATCAAACCAATGGATCCTGCTGAGCCTAATTCTTCCCCTTCATTTTTTACTGTCGATTTCTTTGTTTTGTTTTCTCATCTGAATTGTTTGAATCGGTCCATGGAAGGGATGAGTATTGATTCGGAATTGATACATGTCGATTAAAAAAACATTCCAGACTACAATTATCTGATCCATGGCTGTTTTGATCTCTTTCTAACTTTTTTAATTTGAATTTATTCGGTGATTTTACTTTCTTTGTTTGAATTTAACCAGTAATTTTACTTTCTTGATTTGAATTTAAATGGCGATTTTACTTTTCAATTTGAATTTCAGTGGGTATTTGAATCTGCTTATTTGAATTACATTGGTTATATTACTTTTTTTTAAAAAAAAAAATTAGAAATTCGTTGCTATTTTTACCTTTTTGATTTGAGTTTAATCGGGTTTTCCAAGTTGTGTTAGTGGGATATTTAAAATATAAAACCTACAAATCAAAATTTAAAATTTAAAAATTAAATTGTTAAATTTTAAAGATATAATTAAAATTTAAAAAATATTCCGTATAGACTTAACTAAAAATTTAAAAAATATAAAATTAAAATTTAAAAAAATATAAACGTAGTCTTCTATTATTCGCTGTTACTATTATAGTTCTTTTATGGTTGTTTTTTTTTAGAAATTTATCTAAATAAGACTAAAACATCATTTTTTCAATATAGAATTATATGTTTTTATTTTTTAATGTAAAATCTTTGAGCACTATGAATTAGTCATTACACTGGACATTATTTTTTCTATTAGACATTATAAGTTCTATTTAGGAAATGAAAAAGTTTAATTTTTATATTAGGAAATGCTTTATGTGTTATTTTGATTTGGTGCAAATTTCACTTGTTTTTTCGTAAATGATCTTTTTATATTCGTTAATATTAATCTTAATTTAAAGATTAAGGATCAAGTTTCAAGCATCTACATGCATTCACGGGATGTTCCACATACATCTTGAGATAATGATGTGTCGGATGCTACTGTGCTAGTAGTCAAGCCGTCGAATTGTACTTCTTAGGTACTAAGGATATACAGGTGCAAATGAACCAAATCATCAGCAAAACAAAGGAAAGTATGGCGACTCATGCGAAAGAGGCTTATTGTTTGCCGGTGGAGATCGAATTCCCCATAAAGTATTCTGCCATAAGTCATTCATCATCACATATGGGGTGCTTACCATAATTTATAGCAAAAAAAAAAAAGAATCAAAGTTTAGATTCGATTGGGATTAAAAAGACAAAATGTATGAAACATTAAAATTTTTGTAATTTGATTATGTTGCAACAATGCATTTCTTCTTCTTGGCTTTGATGTAATTCAATGTGTGCATATTCAAATAAAATACTTGCCACCTCCACAACCGCCCGTTTATGAATAAAGTTTTAGTTTCTTTTTGAAGAATAGTAAGTTACATTGTGGCAAAATTAAAATAATACACGAGCTATGGGAGAGATTTAAAATGGTGAGAGGGGAGATGTGTTTAAAAAAAGAATTTTTGAAAATTTTAATTTTTTTGCATATAACAAATGAAATTTAAAAAATAAATAGAAAAGAGAAATGATTGTTGAGTATGAAGAGAACAAGCTCAAGTGCGTACACATTGGTTTGAACTATAGTCACATTACAGCTGTATGGAAACTGATTCCTTGATGGCTATAAGCTTCTACACATACAATGATATAAACATTGATCCTATTATTAATTTTGTTAATGCTCCGTGAATATATGAATAAATCTAGGGGTACACCAAAATGCGGTACCCCATGCAAACGAAATGTCTATGTTTGCCTGGTGTACAAATGAGTATCTCATTTTTGGGTACCCCTAACATGACCCTGAATATATAGGTAGTTTTGTTATACTAATCATGGGTTTCCAGTTTGGTCTTCAACACAGCTAGAGATATACTCCGTATAAGTCAATTAGGAGGTACCATCATAATCTCCTGTGGGCATGGGACACCTGCCTAGTCGGAGCAGGAAGCAGACTTGTGCCACAACTTCACCTGTCGCCGCTTCCTCTCTGATCATTTTCTCTGCTTCTTCGGCGAGCTTCACCGCGTCCCTGCATTCATTAACTAATTAGATTAAGTAGTTAAAAAAAGATGGTACATTATGATCAAGTAGCCATTGTGACTTTAGCTTGACAACTTAAGGCAACCTGATCAAGAGTTCCTCAGGCATGGAGACTTCAACTTGAAGAATTATCTGCCGTCCTTCCAACAACACGTGGTGTGTTATCCGCTCCACCACTATTTTCTGTCAAAACAACCCACTATTTCAAAATGCTAAAAAGCACAACTTTAGACTATTGTTCATTCCTAGTCTTTTTTTGTACAGAGGAATCAAATTCAAGAGCTCCGAGCTTTTGGGTCAATGAATATATATTCTACAGGTATGTGCACCTCTGGAAATTTTGATAACAAGATTTTTGAAACAGTGTTTGCAAGCTCCGTGGGGTACTCGACAGAAGATTTGTTTTTGTGGTTGTAGGACTCCGCTGTTTCCTCTTCGTCATGATGATGTGAATTCGAAGGGTCTGCAAATTACTTTAAATAAATACTTCCATAAATACATGTTGCAAATGATGATGATTGTTGTTACCACCTTACCTATGTGAACAAAGACTTCAACAACTTCACGGTGTGCTTGCTGGAGTTCATGCCGCACAAGTTCACCAACTTCATGTGCAGCACTAACACTAGAGAATGGGTCCACCTGCATTGTTAGAAAAAATAGTATACTGTCTGGAATTTAGTCCTTAGCCACCATATGGACAGTAGTACAAATGCATTAAATTAGAGTTTTCACCAGTCACCGACCTCAACATTAACATCAAGGTACAAAAATGAACCTGCTCTCCTTCCTCGAAGGTGATTACACCCCTGACAAAACAGAATACATTTCTTTTCAGAAAAAGGCACTACCACACTTAAAAATCTTGACCAATTATAAACAAACTTATCAAGATGATTCTCCAGTCTAATCCATCAGGTTGAGACTTGAGAGTGTGACTTAGACATAAAGGGTTGATAAAGAGGACAAAATGCAAAATATGATAAGTAAAACATGAGTTTGTAGAGAGGGATGACTTGCCTTAACCCCATTTACTTGCAGTATTGTGTTTCTAAATGGCTCCAAAACATGAGAGGGGATAGCGGCATCAACTAATTCCAGGACACTAGAAATCGAGATAACATTTAGATATTTACAATTGACATTTGCTCCACATCACATACTAGACACCTTCTAGAGAAAAGATGGAGACACAGCACAACTAAGCATGAACGAGCTTATCAGAAAGAAATAAGAACCTCACAGCTCCTTATTAGAAGATAGCATGGAGAAACAAATATATATACCTCTGGTAACCAGTTTCCAGTCCAGCTTTAAGGATCATACCTGCAACAACAAGTCCAGCAAGAGGATCCAAGAACCTTGCCCCAAGAAAAGATCCACCTGATATCAGACCAACAGCTTACATGCTATTTGTAAAGTCGGATATAATGAAAAAACACCGAGAAGGTTACATGTTCAAATGGTTTAAATACACGCCCATTTGGTGAACTCTTTTTACAGCTTATATTATTCACCAAAACTCTAATAATATTACTGTGCTTATTGGCTTATTATGAAAGTATGATGATCTTATGGACATTACAATTCAACTCAGTTGAATGGCTATGTTTATCCTTTACGCAATATAATTGTTAGAAAACCCTAATTAGAAAAATATGTCATTTCATAAAACTTTACATTGTTCACATTAGCACGACAATTATAGTCTGCAAGTCCATTCGTCTTTCTCTAGGTGCAAAAAGAAGAATCAAATAACCCACTAAATATAAATGCGACAGCTAGGTAGCAATAAGAAGATAAAGGCTCTTACCAACTCCTATGAGAGCAACCAAAGAAGAAACAGAATCAGCACGGTGATGCCATGCATTAGCTTTCATTAGTCCGCTTCCTGTCTTCTCCCCAGCTCTCTTCGTTATCCGGTACAATCTTTATAAAAGAGAGAACATCAAAGCAGCATATATGGGTAACAGCAACATAAAATGATAGCATAAAGAAGTGTTTCTATTCAATGGCAGTACAAACAAATTAGTCATACTTTGAATCAAATTAAGTTTACCCCTTGTGCATTACATGTTTCAAGCATAGTTCTAAGGAAAAAATAAAACTAACCAAACACAAGAAATGCTAAAGTATTTGGTCCTCATACTAGTCCCCTTGTGTGGTTGATGATTAAAATGAAGCATACCCTTCTTTAACAGCTATAGACAGTACAGTCATATTTAAAGCAAGAACAGGGTGATCCATATCAATTTCATGATGATGTCCTAGTCCACCATGATGACCATGAGCTAGTGACTGGCTAACCACTTCAGGCACTGCTGACCACAATCCCTATCGCAAGATATGGAAAGTGAAAAAAAGAACTCAAATAACATACTAATATATGTGGAGAAAATACACTAGCCTAAATAGGAGTCATTCATTCCTATAAGAAAACAAAAACATTGGACCGTTGGTCATATTAGGGAAGCTGTGTTACGTTTTAACCCTTTTTAAAAAAATTTTCCCTAGGCCTTTTGGGGGTACCAGTAATATGAATTCTGTTTCAGATATGGTAGATACATATCTTTAACAAATTTACAAAATACAACACACACCAAAACAACAAAATAAGCTTACACATACCATCAACACATCTAAAGCATGCCATGCTATACCTCCCCCAGTAGCCAATAGCATACCTGAAATTCCAAGGGCACCTAGAGTCTCAAATTTACCATGACCTGAAACAAAGAACCCAACTATAAAAGCCGAGAACAACAATCCTGAAAAAAACAATTAAAACTTAATCACCGTGAAGTCTAACTATTGGCAAGTAAGAACAATCCCACGATACTAATTCCTAAATAAACTTATAATTTCCTCATTTGGTAACATTAAGCTTTACAACGTTAGTATCCCCATGTATTAATAATAAATAAAAACTCAGACACCATCTTCAGGTTCATACTAAATCAACTCGTGTGATCTCCTACACATCATCAAAGCAAAAGAATAGAAAAAATCGGTTTCATCAATATTAGTATGAGCAATGTAGAAACATAGAGTAAAGCGTAGGTACAGATCAAAAGTGACCATATGGGTGTTCTTTGTCCTTGGGAGCCTTCGCAGCTTTATACGACAGCAATGCCACCCCGCTCAGAACCTAGCACAAAGACCCATTAGTCTCAAAACACAAACAAATTGCACATTCGGCAAACGCCGCTAGCTGCATACGGAGTACAATTCGAATAGGCATGAGACCTCACCACATCGGATATGGAATGAGCAGCGTCGGCAATGATCGCGGTGCTTCCACAGACGTAACCGGTAAAAGCTTTGCCGGCCGCCAAGCCGACGTCGGCCGCAAGGCCGAGACGGAAGATCTTCTCGCCTTCATTTCCCTGATGATCGCGGTGCGGATGACAGTGAGCGCCGCCCACATGCCATCTCTTCTGATTTGAAAAGCTAGGGATTTCGCCGGAAGAACGGCCGGCCAGCTGCGGATTCAGAGCTTGAATCACTGGGACGAAGTAGCGGTAATTTTTGGCGTTAGTTCTACGCATAGCTGAAATGAAACTTGTCGTCCCCATTTTTCTGCGTCAATGCCCTCTGAGATTCCTTCCTTCCGAAGAAACGAAATGCTGTTAGAATCTGGATTCAGATTTTTGCAATTAATGTGTAGTAGTTAGTAGTAACCAGATGCTAGAGGCAGTCCGGACTCCGGAGCTGAGACCTTGCCAAGATCTAATTAAATTCTTTGCACGAATTTTGACTTGTAAGGGGACTTTTTATATTTTAAAATTAGCATAAAAAAAATACAAAATTAATATCAATATATTTATTTTGAAATGTTATATTGAAAATCTCTCTTTATTTTGACAAATTTATGGATTTTATTTAAATTTAATAAATAATGATTATGAACGTAAAATTTTGTATTTGTCAAAGTTACAGAACTTTTAATCCTAACTGTCAAATAGAATGAATGTACACTCAAAGCACATTACCTCTAATTTTAAGGACACCCAAAGTATATTTCATATAATGTGAGACCTTAAAGTGCTTCTAAAAAAAACTCAGAGTACCCCAAAATACAAAAAAGATTGATGGTATTCCAAAATGAAGAAAGAGACGCAAAGAGCATCTAAAATAAGTACTCGTAATATATACTCCGTATTATATTTGCTTGTATCAAGTGCCGTTTCTAATCTTCCAATTTAGAAAAAAAAATTGCGTTTACCGATCGATCCATTATAGAGAAAATTGTGCACCATTTGAAAAATTATCCAAAAAAAATATATTTTTCCTAAACTGACAAAGCAGAAGAATATATGAAGTAGTTCACATACATAGACAATGGGGGGAGCAGTGTTCTTAGTTACAAAGCTTTAACAAAACCCATTTTCAAGTAGGTAATATTTCTATAATCACTCTGGGATTTTCCCACCCTTCTTTTTTCTACAACCACAGCTCGTGATTAAATTATGGAGGAATTTAACAATATTAAAAAAAATTGACATAAAAACAATATATAGCTACAGAAATTTACAGACCATTATTAAAATTGCCAGAAATGGAGTTGTACTGTGTTTTTTTTTAAAAAAAAGGTTGTCATCATCTTCTCCGGTGGTCAGACCATCTCTTGTTCACACTCCAGTTAGGATCATGGTGATAAGCCGATGATGATGATGTCATCGTCTCCGGCGGAGGAGAGTGGTTATAATAATAATATTGGTTGTTACTATTAGTAATGCCGGGACTGTTATTATCTGGACTACTAAACGGCGGCTCCAAGTTGCCCGGACGACCGGCATGCTGATCATTTCTTCTCCGGTGAGAAGCAGCTCCGGTGGCGTTGTTATAGTAGTAGTTATTTGAATTAGTATGCGGTGGTGGGGCCTGCACGGCTCCTCCCTGCCAACCACTTTGCGGTGGTGGGGGAGCGTGGAACTGGTGGTGGGATGGTGTTTCTTGCGGCGGCAGCAGCGGTGGACTGAGAAAGATGCCGCCATTGTTGTTGTGATGAGGTGGTGGTTGGTGGTGGAGATGAAGAAGACTACTGGTCCCGCCGGTTGGTTGCAGCAGCAATGCTGCCGCCGTTGCCGCTGCTGCTTCATGTTGTGAGGCGTATGCCATGGCGGCTGCAGTGGCTGCTCCGCCACCTCTCCTTGAGAATGGATTTTGATCATAGTCATCTACCTTCACTCCGCTCTGCAGTGGAAACAGAAGACACTTGAATCAACAGAGGGGAAAAAAACATTTACGTACATTTGTTTTAGCAACATTTATAATTAAGAGTTTTTCTTTCTGGTTCCATAATATTATTCATTGATTGTGTAGTAATCACTGCCAAATATTAAGAGCCCATTTGTTAAGGGTGGATTTTAGTTGTAGCCGCCAAATAATAAGCCATAAAATGTTTCTTTCACTTTAAGCTGATTCTGAAAGTGCAGCCCAATAATATCTTATTGTTTAGTAGAAAAACTGGTCGTTTAAAAACAAAACTCTACCAAACGAGCACTTCACATTTATTTCACAAAAGAAAAGCTTCTCCCAACCCTTGTTGCAGTGAAATAAGGTTGCGTTTGGTTGAAAATGCGACTGATAACCAGAAAAAAAAACATTCTACCAAACAAGCATTAATCATTTCTTTTCCTTTGGTCCTATATGAAGATGATGGTTTTCACACGTCATGCTTGGCATCTCAGAGGAGGGAAAGAAAACTGGGAACATCTTAGGAATGGTAATAACGAATATCCTTTCCAAAAGTTGTACAAAAAAGAAAAAGAAAAAAAAACGGTTAAATGACGCACCGTTCCAGGATTGCTGGAAGGAGTTGGGGATGGAAGACAAACTTCGACTTTACACTCGGCTCTACTTTGGTCCAACACGGTGGGACCGCTCATCGACATCAGTCCGTTTGCCTTAATCATATCAAGCAGCTTCACAGTCTCTTCGCTTGACAGGTTACCGGCTTGGCCAGACGTCAGTGCGAAAACCAATTCTGGGTTTTTAAGGAGCACAGCTAGCAGCTCTAGATCTGGCTCAGCCATGTTATCAGCAGTGTTATTCACATTATGTGAGCGCACGTTGCTGACATCATCATCACGTGCCATGTCTTCTGCACTGTTTCCATCTGGTAACTGTTCTGTTGGGATTTGGGGGGTTAGAGTGTCATCATAGTCCATTTCTTGGTCCCATGGTTCCTTGGGATTCAAAGGAATTTCACGAAGTGTCCTGTAAATAGTCTCCTTTTCACGGTGAATTCTATTCTTCTGATTTTCTACCTCTTGACTATTTTCTCCGGCACATAACTTCCATCTTTCTGGAATCGCCATCTCTGCAGGGAAGAGAACATAGTTGTTGGACATGCTCAAAGACAATAAACACAACACCAGGCATTGATATTGGAGCTCAAACCATGTAGAGCCGAGTCGAGCTCACGAACCACATGTAAGTAGGTAAAATTCAACAACAACCCAGTATAATCCTAGGGTCTGGGGGTCAAGATGTACACAGCTTACCCCTCTGAAATATAGACTATTTCTGTTAGACCCTTAAACATCACTGAAAGTAAGAAGCGAAGGAAGTTTAATGTGTCATTTTGATTAAGTTCATTATTTACTCGAAGCTATAACATTGTCAATCACGACTACTTTTAGGACATGAATACATTGGTAACATTTATTGGAGTGAAATGATATTTATGTCTTAATGAGAAGTCCAAGTTGAATTTTCTAACAGAGCCGACTCCTTTATGAACTGAGTGCGAAATTAAGCTCAAGCTCGACCGGTTCCCTTATATAATCAGATAAATAATCTAGAGAACAAAAAAATCAACAACCAATCAAGAAGAATGATAATGCACCTGGTGGAGTGTACCAAGGAATCTGAATTCGCTTGCACTTTTTCCACAGGGGTTCTTCAGCATCATCCCTCTTTTCATTTACACGGGCCTCCTGCTGTTTTGATCTATTGGAATCAAGACCATCAGTATTTGTATGTCTATCAATTGTTTTCTTCACATCAATTGCTGGCTTCTCTTCATCAGTAGTTGGCTTTCCATCACTAACATTTGACTTTCCGTCATTAATGTTTGGCAGGTCATGTGTTCTAATAGTCGAATGAAAACTGCCATCTAGAGGAGAAGCATACTTATTTGGACCGTCGGGCTTTGGATGAAGGCTGTGATCGAAGGATGTTTTACCTTTCCCATATTTACTCTGCAAAAGTTGTGCACGTAGTTTAGCTTTTTGAATATCATCAGCTGAAAGTGGGCGGCCTTGGGTTGCAGAAGAAGTTTTTGTAGCTTGGGGTTTTCTTCCTGCCATTCTTTGCCCAGGTTGTTCAACCAACTGAACCTTTCTGCGTTCTTGACTTTCTGCTGTCAGTTAAGGCATTTAACAGTTTTTGTTATCAACAGCTCTAAAGATGCTCTTACACCAGTTCAAAATATAAAACACCCCAAACTTATAAAGGGCAAGACATTCACGTCCAGCTTGTTGTATATATGTATCACATGCCTTTTAAGCGCATATATGCATATTACACTACTGTCGAGAGGTACTCAAAGGGTTGAATTTGAATACTTAATGGAGAAGTCATCAGGCTAGCAAATACAAAGCTTGTTTACCTGCCTCATTTTTAATCATGTGTAGCTTCCAATCTTTTACGGAGTATTAAATAATTGTTTCCTTTAACTATATTTTTTGTAGACACTAGACAGACAACACATGATATATTCTACCTTACAGGCAGCAGGAAGCTAGTGAATGGTAGCAGCAGGGAGATGATTTGATCCATCTTTAAGGCCTTGCTTATTTCAAATATAGAACCAGTTTGTTTGATTACCCACAAAAAATTGAATAAGGTGGAGGGAGAATATGATTGTTTTAACATGTGACTCCTTCATGTACTTTTGATGATTTTGTTTTTTGATAGCCACTTTTGATGATTATTGATTAGATAGAAATCATACAATCATTACTTGGTAAATACTCCGTATTTACTAAATATTGCATTATAAGATATATGTAAAAGTTAACCAAGTATACCTTTTTCTCCTGAACTTCTTTTCATCAAAATAGAGTAATAAGTTTAATTATACATTCTAAATTCAAAAAGGCAGTCCGGTGCACAAAGCTTTCCTGCCTTGCGAGGGTCAGGGAAAAAGGCTCCCACCACGAGGGAGCAATGTAGGCAAGCCTTACCCTTCTGCAGTTTTGCAAAATGTTGCTTCCAGGAATTGAACCCATGACCTTAACTCCTTTAGGTTAAAAACCCATGAACTCAAGGTTACACGGAAATACCTCAACATGTGCACCAAAACTCCCCTTCAATAGCTAGGATCAAGTTTATCGCACATTCGCACCTACCATTGTATTACACTTGAACAAACAGTCTACTCCATTGCATATTTGCTTTTATCATGTAGTTTGGGATACTACTTTTTCACCCAATAAAAGAAGGCATATATAAAATCTACACTAATCCATCACCCCTTATCTCTGAAAATAAACAAGCCCGGAATAGATTCGTTCATCTAATTCCAAGATGCGTGAATTGGAGAATGAGGATGATATCTGCCACATTCAGCAGGCATGAAGGCACATAACTCCAACAGTTTGTCCAATCCCCAAGAAATTCTAGAAATTCC